TGCCAGGCCATGTTAATGGACCGTGTCTCCTATAGTCCCAGAGAGCAGGACCAGGGGCTGTCTTGGACACCGACAGAACCCCAGTGGGCCCTAATAGGTCTTTTAGGAAGGAAGGAAAGGCCCCTTCTGCCCCGTGAGGCTGGGTGCTGGCTGCAGACAGCAGGAGTCTCTGGGAGAAGCCGTGCCCGCTCCTGCTGCCTCCACCTCTGCAGCCACTTCCTCCCCAGCCCCTTATCTCCCAGCCGCCCAGCTCTGAAAGCCACAGCCAACGTCTGCTTCCCCACAAGCACCAACTGCCCGGCCTGGGGGAGAGGAGGCGGGTAGTGGGGAGGTGGGGAGTGGTGCCCACACCCCAGGTGGCCGCCAAAGTGGGAGGCAGCTCCTGCCCCCAACTTGTGGGCAACTTTCTTCTCTTCTCTTTCCAACCCCACCTCCATCAGACCCCCTGATTAGACACCAGGCAGGACAGGGCCAGGCGGGGAGCTCAGGGCCTCATTGCGAAAGTGGAAGTGTCCCATCTGCGGGGGGCGCAGGTGCAGGCCTCGAACATCTGCCTCAGGGCTGGGGGCGGGGCAGCCTGTCTCCTACCCCGGTGAGGGGAGCCACCACCCCCACCCAGGGTGCCATCCTGCTGCCTCATGGAGTGGGGGCTGTGCCCCCTGAGACCCTCAGTTCCCCGACTCTGAGACTCCCACTGCACATAGGTGAGGAACAGGCACAGACACAGACAAACACCAGCCATGTGACCACCGTGGCCCTGGCCCATGTGGCCGCCCAGCGCCTCTGCTGTCTCCACTCCCGGAAACGCTCTAGGAGCTGAGGCCGTTAGGATCGTGTGCCCTGCACAGATGAGGAAACCAAGGGGGTCAGGGCCCCCAGGACCCCGACTGCTAATCTCACCCTGAGCCAGAGCTGGGGGAACAGCAGGGGACGTGGGGACCCGATGATGGCACCAGGGGACTGGCCCCGGGCTTGCAGGGAGGTCCCTTCCAGCCTGAGTCCTGGGGGCAGAGCGGCCCACCACCCAGTGCAGGGGAGGCCCCGGGCGGGCCTTGCCTCTAGGAAGTTCCCCAGCAGTAACAAACACGCTCTGACCGTAAGCTGGACACACGCGCTGGCACGCAGCTGCTTGTCACCAACTCGAGAAGGACACCCGATTACCAGGACAGGGAGACCCGGGACACCTGGGGACCCTGCGGGAAAGGAGTCGGCTTTTACCCCTGCACGGCTTGAATTATTAACCGTGTGCAGGCGTGACCTAAAAATCAAATCAAATCAAATCAAAATAGCACAGATGCCCGTGAACCGGCCTTGGGTCTGCGGGTTCCACACCTCTGGCCTGTCTGAGGCCACGAAGCCTCCAGCCATGGTATCCAAAAAGTCGCCCACCAGGGCTGCAGGGCCGAAGGGCTACTGTCACCTCCCGGGAAGCTCCTCTTGCCTCTGACAGTTGTCAGGGCACTTTAGAAAGTGACTTTTTTTCCAGCATCTGGGATGTGACTCACTCTCAGCCCAATGGCTGCTAGAAAGGCGTCCTGGGACTCTCCCTGGGGTCTGAGTGGTCCCAAGAGGGCTCTGAGGTGGCTTCTGGAATTTCTCAGACTGGAGAAGCCACCCACCCCGACCCCCGCAAACTCCAGAGGCGGCCGCTGGGGCGCGGGGTGAGGGTCCTTCCAAGGCAGCCCCGGAGAGGCAGGGAGCCCCGCTGTCTCCACAGAGGGTCAGGAGCCCTGCGCACAAGGCCAAGCAGAGAGAGATGGTTTCCTCCCCAGCGAGCGGGAGGTACTTTAAGGACAGATCAGGGGCCCAAGAACCCCTAGCAGCTGGGGGAGCCAGGGCTGAGGGGAGGCCGGTCAGAGGCCCCATCTGGCTCAAGGGCACAGTCGACAGCCACAGGAACACGGGCAGGGTGGCCCCTGGAGTGGGGGCAGACTAAAAGGGGTGTTGGGGAAAGTCCGGCTGACTGAGGGCAAGCAGAGAGGGAGGAGACCCCCAAATACCCCAGACTGAAGAAAGCGCCAAGCCCTGGTGGGAAGGTGGGTGGGCGGAGTAGGCCGAGGGCTCTGGGCCAGGACGGAGCTGCCCTCAGGCCTGCAGACCTGCCCCGGAGCGAGGAACACACGCTGTAGGGCTCAGGGTGGGTGGGACATCACCAGAGCTGCCTGGGGAGGAGGAAGTTGTTGGAAGGTCAAACCGGAATGGCCCGAGGAAAGGCCGTGAAGGGCAGGGCCCCAGATGGTTCCTGTCGGGGAAGTGGGGGGCACAGCTGCAGGCCTCCGGCCCATTATCACAGGGACACAGCTGGCTGCCTCACCCGCAGGCTGCAGAGACCTTCCCCAGCCTGCAGCCCCAGGCCCGCCCCGCATCACATGAGCCTCACGGCTCCCACCCCCTCCCCAGGGCTGAGGACACCCGGCCGGCGGCCAGGAGGGCCTGGGCTTTGCAGCGGCAGAGGCCCAACTCCAGGACGCCCCAGCTGGCCCAGCCCCTCCTGTTTCCCTCAAGGCTGCAGGAGGTCGGGAAAGGCATTCCCGGAAGAGGCCTGTCCTGGGCCCCAGGTTGGCCCCTGAGGGTGGCCCTCCTCATGCCGGCTTCAAGACTGAGGGACAGGGCAGCCGGTTCAGCCTCGGGATCCACCCGTGGCTCCATGTCCCAGCCGCACCCTGTGCTGGAGAGCGGCTTCCCGGCATCTGCTGCCTGCTCAGCACCCCGGGGTCCCAGGAAGGGCGGCCCAGGTAAGAGGCTCGGGGGGAAGGTGGGGGGGTGGGGGCAGAGGGCGGCAGCAGGTGCCCGGGCTGTGACTCCTTCGAGCTTCTCGGGGCTTTGTTGACAGTGCCGGCATGGGCGGCCGTGTTGACTCACCTCAGATATCAACAGGGCCACCCCTCAGGCAGGTCCTGCACAGCTGGGGCAGGTGGGCTGGTGAGGGCTTGGCAGGTGCCAGCCGGGTGCCCTGGCCCCACCCAGAGGCAGATGCTGGAGGCCGGGCTGCTCAGCCCTGTCTAGGAGGGTGGGCTGTGTTCTCCTGGGGGTGGGAGAGCTGCAGTCAGGAAGTGACTGGGGGTCCTACAAAGAGAGCCCTCCTCCTCCTGGGATGCCCTCCAGGTGCGACGCCTCACGGCAGGTTGGATGAGGAAACTGAGGCCAGAGGGGAGGGCACCGGCCCAAGACCCCAGTGAGGAGGAAATGGACCCGACCCCAGGCCCCTGTCCAAGGAACGATTCCAGGCAGGGCAGTGGGGGTTTGCGGGGAACCTGGGCCTGCCCTCCTGGGGACTTCGGGCTCTGGGGAGGGGTCCAGCAGGACGCCAGCTATTGCTGACACCCCCCGCCCAAGCCTGCAAAGTCCCAGGACAAGGTCTCCCAGACACTGGGGGCTGCAGCTGCAGGCTGGTGTCCCCGTCTCCCGGTGGCCCTCGTGGCCACACTCCCAGCAGCTGTCAGAACCTTCCGGAACCAGCAGTCTCCTGTCTCGCAGGGCTCTCACTGCGGCCGTCAGGTCCAGGGTCTGCCTGCACCCCTGACACTCACACACAGAACCCGGGACCCGGGGTGTCCCCGTCTCTGGAGACCACATTCCCTGAGCAGGTCCTGGCGGCGGCTGCCTGAGGCTGTTCCCACCTGCAGGTGCCCGTGGGACCCCAGAGCCGCCCCCTGCGAGGGCCCCAGCCGTGAGCAGGAACATCCCAGACCCAGGTGCCTGGCGTGCAAAAGCCGGACCTCACCACAGCTAGTGACACTGTGGGTTTCTCCCGAGGGGGTGACTCAGAGCTGCCTTCAAGGCAGCACCAGCTCACTGGCCCTGGCATCTGCCATCCCATCCTCTCCCGGGCGGCCCTGTCTGTCCCCTGGCACGGAGTGGCCTTGGGCCAGGTGCTCCCTCCTTCTGGGCCTCAGTTTCCTCATGGATCAGACCCGTCCCACCAGCTCCCTGCGTGAGTTTCTCACCGGTGGGGAGAGACACGGGCTCTGAGGTGCATGGAGAACAGCTGCTTTGTTAGGATGGGCGTGTCTACTGTGGAAGGATGGGGGCATCTACCGTGGAAGGAGGTTAGGGCCAGGAGGTGGCCCTGTGCCTGATTCGTGCGAGGGGCTGGTGGCTAGAGGCATGAAACAGAGGACCAGGGTGGGCCTCTGACATGGTTGGAGGTGAGGAGCAGAGGCCCAGGGTGGGCCTCTGACATGGCTGGAGGTGAGGAGCGGACGGCCAGGGTGGCCTCTAACATGGCTGGAGGTGAGGACCGGACGGCCAGGGTGGCCTCTAACACAGAGTACACAGCCACTGTGCCCATCCCCAGGGAGCCCCTGCTTAGGGGCTTCAATGTGAGGAGGGAGCAGGGTCTCACTTGGGTGCGGGGTCCTGCACCTGGCTTCTAGGGCCTTCTGTCCCTGCAACCACCCAACCCTATTCCAGGGTGCCCATGGGACAGCCTTGGCCACATCAGGCAGCAGAGATACACGTGACTACCAGGGCTTGGAGCTTCTCATCCTGCACCCCAGGGGCCCCCAGGGGACAGATGTGGGGCCCTGTGATGCCGGAAAGCCTCAGCATCAAGCCTCGCCCAGCTGGAGGAGCAGGGGTCATGGGGGCTGTGGGAACTGGGGGGATCCTGGACAGCCCTGAGGGCCCCTCAGCCCCACTGTGTGGATCTCAGGCACAGGGCCTCCCAAGAGTCCCTAAATCCTGGCCGGGCGCGGTGGCTCAAGCCTGTAATCCCAGCACTTTGGGAGGCCGAGACGGGCGGATCACGAGGTCAGGAGATCGAGACCATCCTGGCTAACACGGTGAAACCCCGTCTCTACTAAAAATACAAAAAACTAGCCGGGTGAGGTGGCGGGCGCCTGTAGTCCCAGCTACTCGGGAGGCTGAGGCAGGAGAATGGCGTGAACCCGGGAGGTGGAGCTTGCAGTGAGCTGAGATCCGGCCACTGCACTCCAGCCTGGGCGACAGAGCGAGACTCCGTCTCAAAAAAAAAAAAAAAAAAAAAAAAGAGTCCCTAAATCCTTTGAGGCCTGAAAACAGGCTGATTGGCTTTAAACTCTGGGGAGAACAGTAATATTTTTAAGAGCTGAAGTAGAAGAACCTTCCTGTCTTTAGAGCAAAGGCTGACTGAACAGGGCTGTGTTGCCGCGTGTTTGGTGGCAGGCGGGGAGACATCCGTGTGCCGCGCAGCGGGTGGCAGGAACTCAACCCCTCGTCTCCTCTGACAGTGTCCAGGGGGCTGGGGTGTAAGCAATCGGAAGACGGCCACAGAGCACACGCCGCCGTCTGGGGGCCAGGACCCCTTCCCTGGGCTCTTTCACCAGCCCCCGCAGGCGGAGGGTCCAGATCCTCACTGACCCCTTGGCCCAGTGGTGCAGAAGGAACCCCTTAAGACAAGTGCTTGTGGTCCTGGGTTTATGATGCGCCCGCTGTGTGTGCTCAGAGCTGTGCAGGTTCTCACCGCCTTGTCTCCACAAACCCACTTTGTGAAAAAAGAGGCTGAGGTCACAGTGGTGACCTGACTGCCCCAGGAGAGAGGGATGGGAACCAGGTCACCTAAGGAAGGTGCCGGAGACAGAGACTTTGAAATCCACCTAGCGAGTATAGGCTGAGGCAGAGAAGGCTCAGTGCCATGTGCTGAGACCTCCATGGGGGAGAAACTGAGTCAGGCGGCCTGGTGTCACCTTAGAGGGACGACATGGGATCTCGGGGAGGTGGTGAGCACCATCAGTGGAGGGGTCCAGGCAAAGGCGGGCGGGTGTTATGGGGACGGGCAAGGTGGGCAGATGCTGTGGAGGCACCATCCGTGCAGGAAGCTTAAGCCCTGGCCGGAGCCCACCTGGCACAGGGGTCATGTCCAGAGCCTATGGTCAGCCTGAGCTCCCTCCACCGACCTTGCCCTTGGGGCTGGGCTGCGCCGCCACTCACTCTCCATCCTCCATCTCCTCAAATGGCCATCTGGGCCCAGCTGCCCTCTGGAATGTTGTGGGTCTGGAACGTCCTGGGTCCGGAATGTTCTGGGTCTGGAATGTTCTGGGTCTGGAATGTTCTGCATCTGGAATGTTCTGGGTCCAGAATATTCTGGGTTTGGAATGTTCTGAGTTTGGAATGTTCTAGGTCCGGAATGTTCTGGGTTTGGAATGTTCTGGGTCCGGAATGTTCTGGGTTT